CACCTCAAGGAGGGGGTCTCAGGGAGGGGCCCTCAGGGAGGGGCCTCAGGGAGGGTCAGTCAGCAAGGTGCCCGGGTCTAATAGGTACACAGCACCAAACCAGAGATTTGAGGACTGGACCTCTGCCCCTTGAAACATCAAAGCGAGGGCTTGCAGCAAATACTGTCTAGAGGTCTGGCTGAAGATGCCTCAACAGCCCCCATCTTCCCAGATGTTTTAGGCTAAACGCCCCCACTTCCCCACCCAGCCTGCCCAGGTTTTCAGCTCTGGATTTCCCAAGTCCTTTGCTACCTCTACCCTCCAGCCATCTGTCTTGCTTGACAAACACTTTTTGGCTTCCAGAAAACACTGAACCTTTGAAATCGTGCCTTTGATGTCTTCCTTTGGGCCCTTCCAAGACCAGGGCTCGCACACTGACTGAGGAGTGAAACCCAGGGCTCGCCGGGAATTCCCACTGGGCTGGCCCTGCCAAGGCTCCACGCCCTGACCTGCCACGTTCTGGAGCGCTCCAGAGTGCATCCAAGGCTCCAGGAGGAGGTCAGCACTTGGTTTCTGGGGCTCCCTGATTGGAAGATATTACGATGTTGACCTCATGCAGTTCTAGACTTTGATGATTCTAAAGTTCCATGGGGCCAGGATCCTTAAATACTAAAACCCACGAAAATATCCAGACTCTACTTTTCTCTACCTCCACTGCTAACCCCTGGTCCAAGCTGCTGTCACCCAGAGCCTGGGTGATGGCCATCCAGCCCACCCAGGGTCTGCTGTCCAAGTAGTGGCCAGGGGGTCTTTTCAAAATGAAAACTTGAGCGTGTCCATCCCCTGCCCAACACCACGGGGGCCTCCCTGAGGCTCTCCGGATAAAGGCCAAATTCCCTGCTGCGGTCACCAGGTTCTATAATCCCGCCACCCCCCATCTTTCAGGGATCTGGACACTCGGCTGCCTCTACACAGCAGCCACCCTGCTGGAAATGCCGTCCCCGGCCCTCCCACACTCTCAGCCCTCAGGTCTGTCCCCCAGGTCAGCCCTGTTACAAGCACTCCTGGAGTGCTGAGCTTTTTGTATCTAACACTGTTGTTGGGTGCCATTGAGTCAATTCTGACTTACAGTGACCCCACGTGACAGAGGAAGAACTGCCTCATTGGGTTGTCTTGACTGGAGCCCTGGTGGCACAGTGGTTAAGAGCCTGGCTGCTAACCAAAGGGCTGGCAGTTCGAATCCACCAGCTGGTCCTTGGAAATCCTATGGGGCAGTTCTACTCTGTCCCATAGCGCCACTATGAGTCCGAATAGACTTGACGGCAGCAGGTAATCATTACAGGATCAGACTGTCACATCTTTCTCCCCTGGAGTGGCTGGTGGGTTTGAGCCACCAACCTTTCGGTTAGCAGCCGAGCTCTTAACCATGGCATCAGCAGGGCTCCTAGCAGTCTGTAATTACACACGTTTATGTTGGTGCACTTTAAAAATTAAAGCTTGTCTTCTGCACTAGATACAAGAGCCCTGGGGGCAGGGAAGGTCCCCCCAGCACCTGCACCAGCTGGGAGCCCA